ATGTGCCCAGGGTCTCCTGGCTAGAGAGTGACAGACTCAATGCAGGAACCAGGTCTTCAGGCTTCTAGCCTGGATTTTTTTTCCTGCACACACCCCTCTGTCTCCATGGTCCGTTGACACTCACCAGCAGGTGGGTGCAGAGGAGGGCTGCAAGAGGGAATGGCATCACCTTCATCCCCAAGAGGGCAGTGCGTACATGGAACTGTCAGCGGAAGCCAGTGCTCTGTGCACCATGCAGTGTTTCAGCACCGAGGACCATGATGAGCATGAGGACTGCCCTGGAATATTCATCTAGTACTCCAGAGACCTGACCCCTATTTCCCTTTTTGCCCCTTTCTCATGCCCTTCCTTCCTTTTTATTCATCCTTCTTTTTGATCTCCATTCTATCTTTTTTCTGGCTGTTACCTTCTCCCTCCCCTTTGCCCCCCACTCCTACTAGAGACAGCTGCTGGGTGTGGCATTGCTGCCCCTCCCAGCCTCCAGGAGCCCCATGGCCTCATCTGCCACTTTCTTCTTCCCCCTTCACTCCCACCAGGTCAGGAGAGAGTGGAGGCCTTCAGAACTGTGAGGAAAAAGGAAATTTCTGGTTGGGGGAAATGTTACTTGCCAAAAGTTGGGATTTAGGGTTCAGGGCGGGTTACTGAAAGCTTGAAGGAAATAGAGGAAAATTTTCTCTATTTTCCCTATAGGTTTTTGTTTTTGTTTTTGCTGCTGTGACACCGAGGGTCTCTCAATGATAACAGTAAATGTAGGACACATGAATATTTTATAAGTCAACCAGCGTGTGTGTGACATGCAATTAAGTGAGGTCAGATGTGCTTGGAAAAGATAGTCTCCAAACTCACCAAAACCAGACACTCCCCAAAACCGTATCTTGATGTGTTTCTAACCTACCCCAACATTTACTTTCCTGTCCCCAAAACAAACTTTTTCCTCTTAATATGACTTTTCTAAAACTTGTCATCTGTGACTAAGGGACTGACACCGTGTGACTGACTGTGGAGCCCTATTGCAGGCCGCTGTATGCTGCGTCTGAAAACACAGGTGTTTGCACAGAAGCTGGTCTCAGAAACTGAGACTTTGATTAGAATTTTGTGGGCCCTACTCATTTTTAAAATATGTATCTCATTTAAACATGATGGCCTTTATTAGTGGATGGCCTTTATTTAGCCTGCATTTACGAGTCAGCAAATATTTGCCTGCTGAATGACCTGGGAGCGTCAGGTAGGGAGGTGGAGGCAGGCAGCGTTTTGGGCCTGGCTAGATCCCACTAACCTGTGACCCATACAGTAATTCCACAGTCCCAGAGTCTCTCGTAAGAGCATTGTGGGTGTGATGTCCCCGTTTCAGAGAACCAATCTTCAAGTCCCCTGAGGTCTTTGCTTCCTTAACTCACTATGGCCACGTTTATGTCATTTAGTTCTCCAAAGCCAGACAGGCTGCATCCAGAAAGGGCTGCCCTGAAACAAGTGTAGAGGGAGGGGACCAGGGTAGCTCTGTTACCAGGATCCCTCTTCAAGGGGAGCACCTGGCCAGAAGCTAATAGTAACCAGTATCTGTCAAGCACTTACTTAGGTGCTGGTCATCATGCTGAGCGCTCCACACCCATGTTCTCACCTAATCCTCCCAGCGTCTCTCCGGGTAGGTCTGGTTGTGCATGTTACAGATGGGCGGACTGAAGCTCAGAGCCTTTGCTGAGACTTTCATTTCTAGCAGAATGGCCAACTGGATCATCACAAAGGCCCTCTGAATACAAGGAACAATTTGTTTTTAAAATTCATTGCTGAATTTTTTTAAGGAAGGAAATAAGGGGTATGGGGAGCCCCAGATCCCAGAGGCAAGGATGAAGCTGAAAGCTTGCAGGAGACAGGGATCCTGAAATGACCCCCAGGAACTCATTGTGTGGCGAGGGAGACAGAGAAAGTCAAAGTTACAGTATAGAGGGTGAGCGCCGTGTTGGAGACTGCCCAGGGCACTGGAAGAGCACAGAAGGGTAGCATTTAGCAAGACTCATGAATTTATGTTTTCCATTTTAAAAATGGTTTCTAAAAGTCTCTTCAGGATCAGAGAACCTGAAAGAACTGAGTTCAAATTCCAAGTCAGCTTCCTTGCTGACTGACTGTGTGACCTTGACCAAGTTCCTTTACCACTTTGAACCACTGGTTCCTTCTCTGTAACATGGGGGTGATGGGGACAACAGTGGCTACTTCATAGAGCTGGGGAGATTCAATGACACATGCCTTGAAAACATTCCTTGTAGAGTGTTTAGCACAATGCCTGGCCCTCAGTAAGTGGCAGCTGTCAGCATCATTATCATCATCATTTAATACAAAAATTAGTAACAATAACCATCATTCCTGGCAAACCTTCCCCAGGATCAGAGAACAAGAAGCAGTTCTTCCACGGTGCCACAGAGCAGAGTGTTTATAAAGAGGTAAAAAGACTGGTTTCCAGGGCCTGCTTTGGTGGTAAACAAGAGCAGGCAAGAGCTAATAAAATTTCAAATTAGCCATGACTTTTCATGGCCCTCCAATTGTGCTAGCTGATTTAATGGTCAGCGTCCCTGCTCGCTGGGATTGAATAATGGAGCATTTCTGTGGAGTTATAGATGCGGCAGCTGAATCTGTCACGCTAACATCAATAGCAAAATGCAAACAACCCTCAGCTCGAGCTGTAATTATGTGTTTAAGCAATGTCTGACGGGGCAGCACGAGAATGTGTAGAGGAGCCCGCCGACTGCCGGAGAAGACAGGTGCTTTGCTAGGCAGTGAGCTGGTGTCTCTGGGAGCTGGGGCGGGAGCCGCGGTTAGGACCCAGGACAGAGCTGGAGTGAGGGGGCGGCCTTTCCTCCACATCTCGGGATGACTGGCTGGGAGCAGACAAAGGACTCCCACTTCGGTGTTCACTTTGGTGGGCCATGTTCCAGGTTCAGGGTCGGGAAGAGGAACTGCCTCTTACTGAGTACTTACTATGTGTCAGGTACTCTGCTAGATTTGGGGACATGTATTATGTTTTCCATTTATGTAAAAAATACTTATGTGACACTGACTTTTATGATCTACTTGTAAGAGGTGTGGGAAACTGGGGCCAAATTTGTTAAGCAACCTGCCCAAGGTCACACAGTAGCAGGTTTCAGAGCAAGAATTTGACCTCAGTCTGGCTCAGGAGCCCATACTGTTTACCACCACGGACCCCGACTGCTGCCTTCAGCCCCTCTGTCACTATCCTCACAGAGGGCATATACCATGTAAGGTCTTGGATACCAGGCAGAAGTTGGGAGAGAAAGACAAGGGATTTTTGTCCTTAACTTATTAAGGAAAGAAAACTGGGTTTCAGGGAGGCCAAGTAGCTTGCCTGGGGCCACAGCACCCCGAGGCTAGTAAGGAGGCTTAGGGATGCTGCCTGTGTGGGTGAGGCACCAGTCCAACCAACGCATATGCAGTGTTCTAGTGGGCAGCGTCTATGTTGTAAACCCCTGGAGACAGATGTGAAGGAGGTGTGTCAGTGATGGGGAGATGGGGGCTCAGAGAGGTTAAGTACAAGAATTCGTGCAGAGTCATTCTTAGGGCAGTTCTGGGACTTGAACTTGAGTCTCTGAGCCTCAGGATCCTCCCACCATCCCACACTGTTTAATTGAATCAAGATAATGGTTTCCTGCCTTTTATGGGCTGTCATTTGGTTTTGTCCCCTTGATTCATTTATCAACTAATTCATTCAATCCTCATTCATTGATTTATTTACCAGTTACGTCTTAAACACCTATACCAAGTGCTGGAGATACAATAGAGATAACCAGAGCGGAATCTGTGTCCCCAGGGTGGTGGGGAAATTTGCCCAAAGTCACACAGCTGATAAGCCAGAGAGAAAGAATTCAACCCCATAGAGGAATACCCATGCTTAGACTGTTCTCTGCCTACGAAGCAGACGGGAATCCTGAGCTTTCCCTGTCCCCCACTTTGGGCAGTATCCTCTAATCCCTGAGTTTGTTGTCTATTTTAAGCTATTCTGTTGGGTGCCTGTAAAAGCACTTTGGAATAATGAGACCAAAAATTTGTGATCTGATGAAAAAAAAATTTTTTTTTTGCACTTTGGGATGCTGGAAGCTGTAATGTAATTTTCAGTCCTAAAGAATTCCACCCATGTGGTAAAGAGAATTCCCTGCTAATGGCTACTTGGTCAGTGATCTGAGACCATCCAGCAAGCTCAGAAAGCCCCTCTCACTGTAGGCAGGGCCAGGTCTGCACACATTTACATCGCACCTGGGAGAGGTGCCTTCTCCAACATGGCCTCTCCCTCACCCTCAAAACCAGGCGGTTGTCAGGTCTCACCGTTTTTACCTCTTCAGTGTCTCTCCGAACCATCCACTTCTCTCAGTCTCTACTGTACCTCAGTAGTCTCAGGAACTATTGTCTTCCCCATATGTAACCTCAGCAACACTCCCTCCATGGCACCTCCAGCTTCCACTTTGGGCCCCCTTAGTCCTCTCTCCTTGATTCAGCAGGCGTTCTGTCAGCCCTGCAAGTCAGATGGAGTCACCCCCTGCTTAGCACCTTTCACTAGCTCCCACTACCCGGAAGGTGAAATACGAACTCCCCAGGGGTCCCAGCTGTCTGCTCCTCCCAGCCCCGGCAGCCTCCTCTTGTGCTGCTCCCCTCACCTTCTGAGCTCAGCACTTGAGTTTAGCCACTCAAAGGTTCAGTGTGTTCTCTCACCTTTGGGCCTCCATATATGTAATTCCTTCTAGCTCTTGGGAAAAAACAATACTAACATGTCACACTGTCCACTGACCGACTTGTCTATCTCTCCTGCTGGACTAGTGGGCTGGGACCTAATCCGAAGCACCTGAATCTCCTTGGTGCCCAGCAGAGGCCTTGGCCTGTATCAGGCACTTAATCCTGTTTTTCAGTGAGTTGAAAAGAGAAGTAAGTGCAGGCGCTGTGGGCAAACGTGGCTGATGGAACATAGAGATGTGAACTGTCGTGCTCTGTGCCCCCTGCAGACGGCTTGGTGGACTGCATGGACCCCGACTGCTGCCTCCAGCCCCTCTGTCATGCCAGCCCGCTGTGCCTGGGCTCCCCCGACCCTCTGGACATCATCCAGGAGACACAGGCCCCTGTGTCCCAGCAGAACCTGCACTCCTTCTACGACCGCATCAAGTTCCTCGTGGGCAGGGACAGCACACACGTCATCCCCGGGGAGAACCCCTTTGACAGAGGGTGAGTCCAGCTCTGGCCATGGCTCTCTGACAGGGAAATGGATCAACTCTAGGGCCACATTTGGGTGGGTGGGGGTGGGAGGAGGCCAGGAGGGTGGGCACCGAAGGCCGTTGATGGAATGGCAGGGAGGCAGGGAAGCAGCCTCGAGTACCCACGTTTAGAAGACTGCCACCCGCGGCATTTGGAATTTTTATGAGCAAAGTTGTGTTGCTCTCACCGGGTGATAAATGGAGAGTGTGAGAAATCAAAGGTCCAAGGGGAATCGTGGATCAATACCCACTTTGCAGTCAGCTCATACTGATCCTGCGGTCTCAAGATGAGCTGAAAAGCTCTGACACTGTTCGCCGTTGGAGCTGATGTCCAGGAGACTTTGTTAGGCTGGGCAGGGTTGCCTCTGCTGGCATCCCAGGTTATAAGCCCATGCATCTTTCACAAGTTGTCAGCTGTGTCATCTGGTGGACAGTTTTTTACTGAGGTCTGTTCTGTGCCACGTCCTGTGCTGGAATCAGAGATGAGACAAACACAGTTCCTGCCCATTGTCCACTAGGGGAACAAAAAATAGTTCCAGTGGGGTAGGCCCTTTTTAACTGTAGGGCACTCTGGAAATGGGGAGAGGACGTTCCTGGGTAGGGGGAAGGCTGAGACTTAAGAACTGAGTCTTAAAGATGAGAAATAGCTAGGCAAGGGAGAGAGAGGGTGTTCTGGGAGAGAGAACAGCCTGTGCAAAAACGCAGGGGCATGAAAAGGTACAGGAGTTCTCTGTTTGCTGCCCCCCACACCAGGGTCTATGAACTTGGTAAAGGTATCCAGGAAGGATGTATGATCATGTCTTTTGAATGTCTTCCAATGTAGAGATGCCTCACACACATAGAGCTTTCTCTGCAAGTCAGCCCAGTTCAATTCAGCAGTCACAGATTGTGTGCCTTCTATGTTCATGATTTCGAGGCCAGAGAAATTCTGCCCTGAGGGGACGGTGGGGGTAGGGATGAGGGATGGGAATGGTGAAAGACAGCCCTAGTTCTCTTTAAAGGGGAAATCAGCAGGGCTTCAAATGGGCTGGTTCTGAAGGATGCTGGAGAAAGGAGAGACCTTACTCAGGTGCCCAGTAGAGGATGGTAACTACCCCACGTTGGGGACCTGAGAGCAGGAGCAGGCTTGGGGACAAAGTGATGACCTCTCCCTTGAGCACAGCAAGGGCAAGGAAGGGACTCACCCCAGTAGACCAGCCAAGAGGAAATGTCTCTAAAATGGGAGTGATGGTGATGACAGTGGCTACTTCATAGAGCTGAGGATGTTCAATGACACATGCCTTGAAAACATTCCTTGTAAAGCCTTTAGCATAATACCTGGCTGTCAGTCAGGGGCAGCTGTGAGGATCATCGTCATCATTTAATACAAAATTAATAATAATAACAATCATTCCTGGCAAGCCTTCCAAGTAGGACCAGAGAGCGGGAAGCAGTTCATAAACATTTCTGGAGCTCACATAGAGGTTAGGGCTGAGGACTTTGATTTGGGAGCCACCAACAAACAAGCAGGAGATGAAGCCAAGAGCACACGAAAGTTTGCTGGAGGAGAACGTGTAAGGGGAGAGGAGCGGGGATGTGAAAAAGCACCCTGGGGAAGAGCTCTGGGAGGTGGTATTAGCGTCCCCAGAGAATACCTGGGAATCCCAGGAGGAGGCCTCGCTCCTGGGACGGACATGCTGGATCTGAGACTCCAGGGCCTTCCTTTCCACTGCCCCAGCACTTCCTCACAAGGAGCGATAATGAGACAGGAAAAGTGAAGAACAGAGAATATTGAGAACCTCAGCGGTGAAGCGATCTTCCCAGATTCATAGGCTAGTCAAGCGGCAGAGCCAGGAGCAGAAACAGACTGAGGGGAAACCTATTCATTTATCTTAGCCAGAAATGCTACTTTTGTCTCTGGGTAGGAAGCTTTCTGCTTTTTTATTCCATTGTGTGATTCTGTATGTATGCTCGTGGGCCTTTCTGTGGCGTGAGTTCTTTTAATCAAATGGAGATAGAAATATGACTCCATCCAAGGGAAATATTATTTGCTCAGCCTTTCTTTACTGGACCCTTTATGAGATCTGATAGAGCTCTGGCTGGTTGGCTACTAGGGGCTGTTCTGCTTAAGGGGTGCCCTTATCATGCCATCCTGATCAGGGCCAGCAGGGACCATGTCCCCTGCATGTCCTCTGGTCACTCACCAAGCCTGCTGTTTAGGCCATGTCACAAGTTAAGTGGCACCTGCTCAAGGATCTCAGTATCATTTTCTCCCAGTCTGACTTACCTAAAGGAGCCAGTCAAGTAGGGATCTTGAGAAACCGCTACTGGGAGAAATGGACAGCTCAGCAGAGAAGAGAGCATAGGCCTCAGAGTGAGGCCAACTTGTGGTTCAGATCCTGGCTCTGCCACTACTGGATACGTGGCTCTGGGAAAGTGGCCTGATAAACAGTGACTATGTAAATGTCTGTTAACTCTCTGAACAGAGTCCGCCAGGACAGGACTGCATCTTACTCATTGTAGCACTTAGTAGTTGCTTGAGATAAGTATGTGTATGTATTGCCTTGAACGATGAAGAAATGGGAGGAAAGAAGGAGGGACGGAAGCATGGAGGGACAGAGAATGGATGGACACATTATCTATTTTATTTAGTTTGCTACTGAGGATTCAGAGTCCAGAGAGGTTAAATTATCTGTTAAAAATCACATTACAGATTAGTAGCAGAAGCAGGAGTAGAAGTCAGCTCCCAGATCACTGTTTATATATCTGTCACCTTCAGTTAAATAACAGATGCTTGGAAAGCAAAGACCATTCATCTCTCCAAACCTTTCTTACTTAGGGAAGAGTCTGGAACGTAGTATTTGCTCTAAAATGGGTGGATAATGGAAGCTTCCAAATGTTACTGTAACAGTTCCTTTTCCCTAACATTTGCCTGAATCATTCTGCCCCTGCTCCTTGCTGATCTAGATTCAGAAGAAACAGCTATCTTTCACTACTGAGTATCACCCAACAGATTTTTGTGTAAAACAGTCCCAGGTGACTGGAAACCTGGAAACACAAGGCAGCAGATGCTTTTCTCATTAGACTGCCTGCTTGGTGTTCCGCTGTCTTGCTCTGCGTCGGGAATGCAGTGCTTATTTACACAGTGGGGATAAAGTGACATCGGTTACCAAGTTTGGGTTGTTGCTTTCTTTCCTCTCATGTGAAGAAATATGGTATAATTGAAAGAGCCCAGAGTTTGAATCTGGGCTTTACCAACTACTAGTTTTGTGTGGCCCCAGGGAAATGATTTAACCTTTGCATATATGCCTCCGATTATAAATTGGCAATCATAGTAACTACTTCATGAAAGCCACAATACAAATGAATATGAAAAGGTACATAGGTATGTACATGTAAGACTGAAACACTATGCTGTGCACCAGGAATTGACACAGCATTGTAAACTGACTATACTTCAATTAAAAAAAAAAAGTAAAATCAAACTAAAAGGAAAAAAAAAGATTACCTGAGATAAAGCACCTAACGCAGGGCTCGGTGCATAGGCGATGAGTGAGTGGGGTGGCTCCTACGGCAGCAGCATGGCCCAGTGAAAATCGCCGAGACCTGGATTTATAGTCTCTTGCCTCCACTTTATAGCTGTGTGACCTTGGGAAAATTCCTCAACTTCTCTGAGCTCCAGTGTCCTCCTCTGTCAGAGCAGGGTAATAATGTCTATTGTGCAGGTTGGCCATGAGAATTAAATGAAAAAACAAAAAGTTCAGGAGCGGGAGGGTATAGCTCAGTGGTCAAGTGCATGCTTAGCATGCACAAAGTCCTGGGTTCAATCCCCAGTACCTCTGTTAAATAATAAAAATATACATACATACATACATACATACATACCTAATTACCTACCCCCTCAAAAATATGTTTTAAAAGTGTTTTGGGTTTTTTTTTAACATTTTTTATTGATTTATAATCATTTTACAATGTTGTGTCAAATTCCAGTGTTCAGCACAATTTTTCAGTCATACATGGACATATACACACTCATTGTCACATTTTTTTCTCTGTGAGCTACCATAACATTTTGTGTATATTTCCCTGTGCTATACAGTATAATCTTGTTTATCTATTCTACAGTTTTGAAATCCCAGTGTATCCCTTCCCACCCTCCGCCCCCCAGCAACTACAAGTCTGTATTCTATGTCTCTGAGTCTATTTCTGTCCTGTATTTACACTTTGTTTTTGTTTGTTTGTTTGCTTTGGTTTTTGTTTTTTAGATTCTACATATGAGCGGTCTCATATGGTATTTTTCTTTCTCTTTCTGGCTTACTTCACTTAGAATGACATTCTCCAGGAGCATCCATGTTGCTGCAAATGGCGTTATGTTGTCAGTTTTTATGGCTGAGTAGTATTCCATTGTATAAATATACCACCTCTTCTTTATCCAGTCACCTGTTGATGGACATTTAGGCTGTTTCCATGTTTTGGCTATTGTAAATAGTGCTGCTATGAACATTGAGGTGCAGGTGTGATCCTGAAGTAGGGTTCCTTCTGGATAAAGCCCAGGAGTGGGATTCCTGGGTCATATGGTAAGTCTATTCCTAGTCTTTTGAGGAATCTCCACACTGTTTTCCATAGTGGCTGCACCAAACTGCATTCCCACCAGCAGTGTAGGAGGGTTCCCCTTTCTCCACAGCCTCTCCAGCATTTGTCATTTTGGATTTTTGAATGACAGCCATTCTGACTGGTGTGAAGTGATACCTCATTGTAGTTTTGATTCGCATTTCTCTGATAATTAATGATATTGAGCATTTTTTCATGTGCCTTTTGATCATTTGTATGTCTTCTTTGGTAGAATTGCTTGTTCAGGTCTTCTGCCCATTTTTGGATTGCATTGTTTACTTTTTTCTTTGAG